TAATTATAAAAATGGAGGAAGTGAGGTCTGGTATGAATTAGGAGATCAAGGGAAAGGGTTTATGCTCTGAGGTGGAGAGACATAGCAAAAGGATTTATGCTAATGTCATAGAAGATCAGTGCAGAGAGGGGACCAGAAGACTGATCTGTGGAAGATTTGGGCAGGGTTGATGGTGATAGTGCAGTGTTGGTGTCAGCAGTGAGAAATCTGCAGCACTAATCTGTGATACTGGGGAGGGAGGAGAAGATCCTCTGTGCTAGTAACCTTCTCTGGAACTGGATTAACTGTCTGGGTGATGTGCAGGGGGGAAGGTTACGGTATGTGAAAAGGAGTATTAATGTGCAGTGTGACAAAATGGAAGAAAGACTATAGTGGCATGAGGGGAGAGAGATCAGAAAGGTGAAAGGATAAACACTCCCAGCTGAATTAGAGTAGCGTTACTGGAGAAACACAATGTTACCTACTTTAAAGTGCAAAACGATTCTCAATGTACACTGCAGAAAGCTGGAGTCTTTATAGAGGGGTTTAGTCATTTGATGTAAATGGGATTGATAAAGTGCAAATTTTGCAGATGTTATTACACGACCTTTTAGATACAGAGCAGTTTCTTCCCTTTATGGAAAACACCTTTTCTTGGGTATCATTCATGGTTAGTTCTTCTTGTCAAAAACCCTGCTGTTATACCTGTGACTGCATATCAGTGAAAATCCCAATAACAACTCTTGAATCGATTATTGAATCAATTCAACTATTGAATTCGATTGAGTTATGGAATAGAAACTCTCTGCTAGTGTTTATCATCGTCTTGTCCAGATAGACTGTAGCTTTTCTATGCTTTAGTGTACACCATCTGTTTGCTTTTCTGTTGCCTTTTTTTTCCCCCAAGAATTGAGGTGGCTGTCACTAAACAGCAAATTTCTGTGTCAGTTACGCTTTTTAGCCTATGCCATTAACTTTTTTTAATGCAGGCTTTTGTTTATAGCTCTTGCACAGTGGTTTGAATCTGTTTTGAGATATAAATGGCTAAATAGTCAATTTTAGTACTTCAGCTATATCTAGAAATAAGGCAACGCTACCCATCTGTAAAATTCCTATGCCTTTTATTATCCCCTATTTAAAAATGGTGTTTTAAATGTGTTTGTTTAGACGTGAACCATTGGCTCTTATCAACCTCAAAAAGAAAAATGAAGAAACTGGGGAGGAAGAACTTTCCTCACGCTTAAATCACTTCAAAGCAAAAGCCACCAGGCACATATTCCTTATCCGTCATTCTCAATATAATTTGGATGGCCGGGCTGATAAAGACAGAACTCTGACCCCACTTGGTATGTATGACTAAGAAGCATCATGCTTTGCATTTAGGTAATATTGGTTTTCATGTGCTGCCATCCTGATGAGTACAGGTCAGTAACTCAGCTGTGCTCTGGGTCTTGCTGCCAAACCTTAATCCACTTTCTGGATCCTTTGTGCCAGCAGGATGTCATGAATAAGCTTGCCTTTTTCCATTTTTGATCCATTAAATCCAAGCATAAAACCTGCTTTCCAGAGTTGTAAACACACTCAGTTGTAAAGAAACTTCACAAAGGAAATTTCAAATTAGCTTGAGATTGCTTGAGCAGATTTTAATACAAGCTGGCATAATTCCCCAGGGCAAAGGCTTTTAAACTTGCTCCATTACTGACTTTGGGATAGATTTCTTTTAAAGGATGGCTTGTGTTTCTGTTAGTTAATTTGCTGATTTTTAATTAAAAAAAAATTATCCTGACTTGCAGTTGGAGTGTTTATAATTAAATACCTCTCACTTTTGCTCCCTAAGCACTATTGCTGGGACTACTCCTAATCAGCTATAAGAAATGAGGATAACCTCTGCCTGTCTGAACTCATTGATCTGTGACAGTGGACACTTTCTTGACCACATATACACCAGCAGTGTTTTGAGGGGGGAAGAACTGTTACTGTGCAGTGCTGCTTGAGGTTTTGGAAGTCGGGCCAAATGTTTAGTATAAACACTTTTTTTTTTTTCCCCTGCAAGTCTCTATCACCAGTGTGCAAACAGGAGTGAAACGCTGATTTCAGGACTAAGGTGCTATCTTAAACTGGTAACAAAGTATAATCTTAATCCTGTCTACCCTGTGCCTTGGGTAAATTACTTAAATTTTTCCACCTACCTGAGTGGAAGATGGAATAAAGCCTTCCCCTGTTATCAAAGTGCTGTCCTTAAGTGCTGGGAGCTGGTGTTGCCTTTCTGAAAATGCCCTGTCACGTCTGGGTGCATCTGTTTGTCAGAGTCTCATCTTCTGTGCTCCCTGAACACAGAGATGGCAGATGGCTTGGGTCAGCACTACCTTGTATTGGAAGTGGCTCTCTTGGGATGGTGCTAACAGGGATATTGAATACTTAGTGAAAGTCTCTGAGTAATTTTGTTTGTGTTATTAAAAAAGAACCCAAAGCAACTAATTTTTCCTG